GCAGAAGAATTGTAGAGAGAACAACAAAAGTAATCAACGAACTATGGAAAAAAAGATGTGAAGAAATCACAGAATGGAAAGAGATAAATAACATCAGCAGAGCGAACAAAAGAAAGCAAAGACATGGATCATACCAAACAGAAGTCGAAAGAGATAGAGAAAAAGAGGAAATAGTAGCAAATAGAAAGAAGAATCTGGAGAGGAAATTGCTGAAAAGATGGGTAAAAAACATGAATAAAATGACAAGAAACAATTTTTTCTATTTATATACCAGTAACATTAACAATAGCGATGCCTTGGCATGTTAATTTCAACCTCTATCCATTAGGAAAAGTTGATAGCAACAGCCGATATCTAGAAAACCTCGATATAGTTTAGCATACACTTATCAATTAATATTATAGCATAGTTTATATACAGAAATGTGTACGAATATATGTAAATATTGACTTTAATAAAATTTGCTAAGCAAGGTTAAGCTAGTTAAAAAAAAAAAAATAAATTATTTGTTATTGACTCAATTCTTAAAATTTTTAAAAATAATTATATCATGACTAAATTATTTATATGTTTTAATAGTGACTCAATTAATTGTATCAAATAATTATGTCAATTGTATTAAGGATCTATGAATTTTAGTAACATATATATATATAACCTTACAACTTTGTTTGAATGTATTTTTTAGAAAGTGTTTATGAATTTAACAAATATAATAATAGTAATAGAAATGATTTTTATAATATTAAAGAGATATAAGTTACAAAAGAACAAAAGAACAAAAGTATAGTGTTATAAACTTTTTTTTATATAATCAAATAATAAATAAGACTTCCAAACTTGAATAGACTTTAATCAGAGATTCCATTCTATTGCATCAGTTGTCTTTAGTATTCTTAAGTTCTTGAGCTGAGCTCACTTGTAATAAAAAATAAAAAATATTTTTCTTTAGCTAAAATTATTATAAAAGGAAATTTTAGAAAAATAGTTGCAATCAGAAGAAAGTTTTTAATTAATTATTAATTTTTTATAATAAAAAATATAATAATATAATATACAATAAATATTATATTGGATATATCAAATATATTAAATATATTAAGTATAATTAATATATTGTAAAATTTTTATTTATGGTTTCTATAAAAATATGAAACTAAATTTTATATATAATATTAAATAAATAGTTTATATTTTTTAAATTAAAACCAGTTTTTTAGTTTTGCAATAAATTTATATTATATTACAAAATATTTAAAAGATAGTTTATTTGAAAAATTATTATATTATTTATTTTTATGTTTTTATATTTAAATAAATTGTTATTTATAATTGTTTCATTAAGAAAAAAAATTTTATAAAAAACATATTTTATATTCAAGTTTTTAAAGATTGTTTCAAATTACTTATAATAAAATATTGAAGTTTTAATAAGTATTGTTAAATATTTTAACCAGTTTTTTACTTGTTATAATTTTTTTTTTTTATAATAATCTTTTCAAAATATTTTCTTTATATAAGATTAAAAAACCAAAAATAATCAGGATACTTGTTTTTGATCAGGCAGGTTGAACTTCGAACCTTTATTTAGTGACCTATAGAACATTATCATTATGTTATAAACTTGTAAATCTGATTTATATTTTAAGATAAAAATAAACCTTTTTTTGCTGATCCTTTTGTCATTCCAAAAAACAGATTTTCTCAAAAGATTTTTTGTCTTTATGATAATAAAGTCTATATATACTTTCCTTAAAAACAATATTGGTTTTAACTAACCAAGTGAGCAGAAGCTACCACTTGTTTTATTTTTCTTTTTTAAAACACTTTTCTTGTTTATTTTTGTAACTAAATACAAGAAACCTACCTAAAAAATCCACAGCAAGAACACTTTTATAGGAAGAAAACTGACAAAAAAAATATCCTTTAAAAATCTCCAAAAGATTCAAAAATCTAGAGAAACAAGAATAAAGAAGTTTCCAGTCTTTCCATTATCTCTTTGGCTTCTCACTTCTTTTTTCTCAAGTGTGCTTTCTTTTTTCTGATTTTTCTAAGGAATTTTGCCTACCTCAGTTTGATCTTAAATTTTTGGTCACACCAGATTTCCTGAAAGATAATTAGTCAAGATTATGAATTGATTGATCATATCAGCTACAAAAAAAGTAAACAAGACATGTATTCCTCATATGTTTTTAGTTGTGCAACACTAAACTGATGATGTGATTGGTTCCTGAAAGAGTTGGACAGTTTTTAGTTGAAGAAGTAGTATAGGAGTATTAGGTGAAATTGAAGTTATAAGTAGTAAAGGAGCAACACTTTTTGTTTTTATTCTTTTATTTTTTTTTTCTCTATTATTTCATGAAAACATGAAGTAGCAACAAGGTTTAGGTCATATTCCAATCTGGTAACAAGTTGAAGTACTGATATCTATTCTGAAAATAGTTAGAGAAAGAAATCTTGAAACTATTTACTGATTGAGTAAAGCTATAATTTCAGATGACATGGCTTGAAAAAAAAATCAACAATAGAAAACTAATATTCTTTCTGGTTAAAAGTCTTCAAGCATAAAGTTTCAAGAAATACTTTTCTGAAAGTGCCCTTAAACATTCTTGGACATCAACTACTCCATTGGAAATTAAACAGTTTGACTGGTTACAGGTAGTAAAAAATAAGAAATCATAAGGAGCTTGAGTTTTAAGTTCACAGAAATAACTTTTTCAATAATAGTTAAAATAAATAATAGTTTTTTTTCTTTTCTCTTTGTCAAAAAATTCTCTTTTTTATTTCTTTTTCCTCTTGTGTAGTTTCTACAAGAGGAAGTGACACAATTTGGATTTATGGTTATAATTGTGAAAGTGATTTGCAAGTTTTAATTTTATCAAAAGTTCGGAATCTTAATTCCATCCTTTAGAGAAACAATATATCACCTCCATAAATTGCATCTAAAGGCTTCAGCTGTTGACAAGTGAGTTGGGTCAAGGAAATTTGTATTTTGCATGTATTCTCGTGTGTGTAATGGTTCTCTATGATTTAATAAATAAATGACACCAACCTGATTGCAGGATAAAAAAAAAATTATTTTAAGATGAAAATAATATAATAAATTATATAAGACCAATTTTATTAAGAACTGGAACGGACTGGACCGAATTAGTATTATTATATCATTTATAACGTGATGACTCTTGGAACCGAAAAGCTGAGACTTTTAACCCTAGATAACGAATTTGTACCCGAGCTAATTATTAACTTTTTTTGGTCTCGTGACAATATTGATCGGGATCACGTGTAATTATATTTGCAAATACGCGACGCGGTTTATTGTACGAGATTGAGTTTATTAATTTTACAAGAAACGGTTATGAAGCTATGGATTCTAAATATGGGAACACGCTTGATTACAACACAGAAAGCGAAAATAGATCCGCAGGGTTCGGAGGGCCAAATAAGAACAATAAGGAAAAAATGCCTATACGAAGAAAAAAAGGACCAAAGTTGGATGGTACAACGTAAGAAGTCAAGTATATAATACATTTTTAAAATAAATAACTTCATGCTGATTTCTGGTGTCCAATGTCTTAGATTAATGTCAGAAAAGGGATTTAGAAAAGTACTCTGTGAGGCTCAAAAGTTGAAATTCGCAACGCCCAACAAGGATCAGAAGGACCAGGATAAAGTTACAGTAAGAACACTATTTTTAATTCTAATCTTTATATTACTCGCTCATTGCTGTTGCTTTTTTGTTAGGAAGAAAATTTGAATACGTTGATTAAATTTTATCAGGCATGGGCCCACGATTTATGTCCAAAAATGAAATTTCATGATTTCATTCAAAAAGTAGAAGTACTTTGTACGGAAAGAAGAATTTTGGTAATTTCAATTTCGTTTCATTTTGCAATCCTTAATCTCACACCTCATGTTTCATTACTGATTTTATTTAATCCAGGCTCATATTAATGATCTGAAAGATGAATTTAAAAAAGAAATATCGTCTAAAGAAAATAATATGTGAAATCTACATATTCTACGTATTAAAGTGTGAATTGTATAAATAATGCTATAAAAAAAAGATTCACGTGACAATTTTCCTTGATAACAAAATTTTTCATGATCTGATGCTAGCTACAATTTAAAATGTTTTATACAAAAACCCCCGTTCTGAAAATAATCACAAATTATCGAAGGTTTTATACCATAAATAATCTTGGTCATAAGTATAGACGACCCAATATTTTACCTGGCTCGGAAAAATGGGTAGAAATTGACACGGAAGAAGTAGATAATCTCGGCAAGCAAAACGCTATTCGTTATTTGCAAGAAATAAATCCACAGTCGAAAAAATGGGTACATTCAAAAAAAAAAGTAGTTGAGAGCGAGGAAAATGAGTCATCAGACAAAACTTCACTGTCAAATGAATCAAATAGTGAATATAATACAGAAACGAGAGTCAAAATAGTGCTTTCCGAGACAAAGTGGGCAAAACCTAGCAAGTCAGAAAATGAATCTGTACTTGATCTCTTTTCCGACGTGAATTGGGATAAAAAGGAAAAAAAAAAAAATTCAAGCACTAGAAATTCAATCGGGAGTTGGGCCGGCGCGAAAAGTTTGGATAGGAATGGTCAAGCGAAAAACCATAGCAGGAATAACAATGGTGCACGGTTGGACACTCTTAATGGACCCCTGAATGACGATCAAAATCGATCAGGCGGAATTTTTGATCGCCTCTTTGAAGGCAGATCAAACACACAATCGTGGAAAATGTCTTCTTCTCGATTATCGGATGCTAGAAACTTTGATAAAGGAAAGTCGAGTCCTGCATTTTTCAGCCGCCCTACACCAAAAAGACAACCTCTTCCCTCGCTGGGAAAGTCAAAAGAACTTTTGTCTAAAATGGAGATGCAGAGTGATTTCATAGAAATCGGAGAATCTCAGGGCCTTGGCAAAGATGTGCACGACGTCATCCGTTTGCGCCAAAAATTTGGACCCAAAAAAGAAAAAGCTGTAACATTCACGGAGCTTCGTAAGACAAAACCTATTCGAAAGGATCATGAAAGGAGGATGGAGGAGGATGATGAATTTGATATTGATATTGATGTTGAGCGACCAAAGAAAAAGCAGCAAATCCTTGTAAAACCACAAGAAATTCAAAAGGAAATTTTCCTCCCCGAAGCCATCAGCATTTCTAATTTGGCGAAGCTCATCGGCGAACGAATGGGTGAGCAGATATGAGTTCTGTTTACGGAAAGATGAAGTAAAATTTGAATTAACATGAATACAGTTTCACGTTCTATTAACACCAGCATCATTTGAGCATAAATTACGTAGTCTTGGAATAGAATATACATCACATGATCATTGTAAGTCGAAAAATTTTAAAATTAAAATTTTTGTTTTCATCGTATTTACCTTTTTTTTTTTAAAAAAATTTAATTCAGTGCTAAATTCCGAAGAGGCTTCACTGATCGCGATGGAATATAATTTAAATCCAGTAGTAAACACGGTTGCATCTTTAGATATTTATTCAAAGTAACGTATCTTAATCGAGCTATTCCTGATATTCGTAAGAAACCTTACAAAAAACCCGGAATTATGATACATATAGACCAAAACCTGCTGATATGTCTAAACATCCATTTCGACCTCCTATTGTGACCATAATGGGTCATGTTGACCACGGTATTACTTTTATCTAACGTTTCATCTATCATCATATTTCAAAAACAAGTGAATTATTCAATAAACTTCGATTCTTTATGTACAAGGGAAAACAACACTTTTGGATAGTTTACGAAGGTCTTCTGTAGCGGCTGGCGAAGTTGGCGGAATCACTCAACACATTGGTGCTTTCTCGGGTATTAATAATTTTTTTAAACGTGCGAATGATTTCATGTTAGTACTATTTTACTTAATATGCATAACATTTTCTAACTATTATGTGCAGTTTCATTACCTTCGAAAAAGACAATCACTTTCCTTGACACGCCCGGTCATGCCGCCTTTTCTGCTATGCGTGCTCGCGGTGCTCATGTGACTGATATCATTGTTTTAGTAGTCGCGGCCGATGACGGTGTGATGCCCCAAACTTTAGAAGCTATTAAGCACGCCCAAGATGCTGGAGGTAAATTACATATTAATGGATTGTGGTGATAAATGGCTTATGACTTTTAATCAATAAATAGTGCCTATGGTCGTAGCGATTAACAAGATTGATAAACATGACGCGAATGTGGTATGTGTTCTAGCGGTTCAGGTTAGATTCTTATGAGTGAATATACGAGAAATTAATGTTCTCACAAATGAATACAATATTCTCTCTTTAAGATTAAAGTGCGCCAACTTCTAATGTCAAATGGTGTAGAACTTGAAGAGTACGGTGGGGACACACAGTGCGTTGAGATTTCTGCACTGATGGTGAGCACAGGTCCCAGATGAAATATTACGTTTGATTTTTCTCTAATATAACACCTTAAACCTATGCAGGGTGAAGGTCTGGAAAAATTGGAGGAGGCAATTATCACTCTTGCTGAACTATCAGAATATCGTGCTGAGATTGATATTGAAGCTGAGGGTAATGTGATAGAATCACAAGTGGAAAAGGGCAAAGGGTAGATATAGGTATTTTTTATTTTATTTTATTTTACTGAATTCTAGTATTTAAGGAACCTTTTGCACTGTATATATACTTTAGAAATGTTGCTACAGTGTTGGTAAAGCGTGGCACCTTAAAACAAGGAGATATAATTGTTGCGGGCACGAGTTGGTGCAAGGTTCGCTTAATGACTGATGACAAGGGTCAATCACTCAGGCAGGCATTGCCTGGTACCCCTGTAAAAGTCGTCGGTTGGAAGGACCTTCCAAAGGCTGGTGACGAAGTTCTTCAGGCAAAAGATGAGGTAATTTTACTACTTTTGTGTTTATATTGTTATTTTTTTTTGATTTTGAAATCACGTGTGAAAATTAGGAAATCGCAAAAACTGTGGTCAACAACCGTAAGTTGAGAGAAGAGCGCGAAAAGCAATTGAAAGACCTCGAGGTTATTAATGAAAAGCGGAGACAACGTAAGCAAGAATTGGAAGTCGAACAAGCTAATGCCAGAAATTTCAAAAAAGAAGTTTGGATGTTCCATAAAGGTTTGCTTAAAGAATATCCTACGATCTCTCCTCCCTCCGAAGATAATGTAAAGGTCGAGGAAGATAGTACCAAAGAATTACGGGTTGTAATTAAAGGTATATATATATATAATCTATCTCTACGTACCCTATGTTAAAATTCCTTCTAACCCTTTGTTGCAACAACATAATTTTACTAGCTGACGTGAGTGGTTCGGTTGAGGCCGTTGTAAACTCACTGGATTCCTTAGGCAATGATGAAGTTACTATCAATTTGATTGATTTTGGAGTAGGTGATATTAACGAATCGGATATCATGAAAGCATCCGCTTCAAAATGTATGCATTATCAATGACTTTCGGATTAATTAATTATACATTCATTACCAACTAATCTGTTTGTTAAATCTTCTGTAGCATTAATATATGGATTTAATGTAAAAGTGAACCCAAAAGCTAGCGCACTGGCAACAGCGGAACACGTTGACATTGCTACACACAATATCATTTACAAGCTGTTGGATGACGCGAAGGATCGATTATCTAAAATGTTACCACCTACCTTGGAAACTCAAGTTACTGGTGAAGCGACGGTATTAAAAATATTTGAGATCAATGTTAGAGGTAAAGAGTTTAGGCCAGTAGCTGGTTGTAGGATCACGACCGGTACAGTAACTAAGACTCAAAAGGCCCGAGTATTGAGGGGCGAAAAGCAAATCTGGGAAGGTGCGTGAAATTTAAACTGGAAAGTTCTCGCCGTTTAGAATACAGTCAGTTAATCATTTCTCTACGCAGGTTCGATTGAATCATTGAAGCAAGTGAAAAAGGATATTCCCGAGGCAAAGAAAGGAACAGAATGTGGTATAATGTTTGATGGGTTTACGGACCTTAAAGAGGGAGATACCATCCAGACTACAGTCATTAAAGAAACGCCACGAACTTTATGATTATAATGAATCTTTGCAACGTTTTTTTTTATTATGTTTAAATTGATTTTTTCTGAACTAAATGAAGACAAATAACAGTTTATAATCCAGGATGACCGATGGATTGAATGCGATTGGGTTTTCTGATAGAGTACAATTGCTAAAGAAAAATTTACAAACTTCAATTTATAATAATTATAATTATAGATAATAGTGACAACAAATTTTCTCGTCACTAAGATATTTAGATATATATATATATATTTTTTTTAGACTAGAAAAAGAAGAGAGGATTATGACCGGTAAATATCTTATTACAAAGGTTTCTCTACTGCCTAACTTATAACTCGTACAATGCCTTGTCGCACTGTATGTTCCCAGAGAAAGATCTCTAAAATATTGCATCCTTTAGAAATATGTGATCGTGGTGCCTGCCTTCACTGTTTCCCAAAATTTAGCCATTCCTCTAAGCAAAAATTCACGCCTAATTTTGTTCCAGCCAGATATCAAGAAAATTACTGTAAAAAGTAAGAGAATTTTTGGAACCGACACTTTTGATGCCACCCTTTGTAAAGACAATGCGAAAGCCTCAATAAAACGATGTATGTTCGTTATCATTGTCGTCGCAGTTGTTGCCGGCAGATCCTGTCGATTTTCCAGAATGTTCCTATTACTTCCTGATATAAAAGAACGAATATTCGATTGTCTGTGATTATTCCTGAGCATGTTGGATGATCGCACCCTGAATTCGGGTGACAATGATCCGTTCGGAAGTTTGTGATGATTAATTGAAGGTGTCACATTGTTTGTGCGGCCGTAATCCAATCTATGATGTTCGTAGCCATAATCATTAGTGTCTTCTCTTTTTGATTTTTCTTTCTTTGGCTTAGACTTTCTAGATGTTAAGGGTCTACTCGATTTTTCTTTTAATTTGATAAGGGATTGTTCATAGACCTATTGGATACAGACGTGTGAGAACAGTTTGTGAAAAGTAATCAATTGACGACTTTGGGGCAAAATAATGTTCACCTTCTTGTGTTCTTTGTCGATAATCTGATCTACGGCGAGAAAAGAGCTCGCCTTATCCCACTCTTTGAGTTTCGGTAAAACGTGCAAAACATATAATTGCACAACTTTTTCATAGCACTTTAGCATGGAATCATCTTGATTGAGATGAACAATCGTGGATTTAGGAAGCGAACAGTACCAATCTTCAATTACTTGACAAGCAAATTTGGGACAATTTTGGTGTAGACAAAGTAGCGTGCTTCCCAACAAAAAAAATTGTATATGTCAAAGTTAGTACTTGAGTGAAATATTTTGTATGAAAGAATTAAAATTTGAATTCTAATATGTAACACTTTATAAATTACCATTGTGTTCATTATTTACCATGCAATTATAATCTCGCCCGGAATTTCCCCATCTTCGTTGTTGAATCCGGTCGTAACGATTTTGGTATAAACCTCTTCGCAAATCTTTTCCGAAGGTCGTTCCAGGAGCCTTTTAATCTCATGATCCTTCGTAGCTATTGGAGGTTTCTCTGCGAGCAAGGCAGCTATGAGATTTATATAAAGACACCATATTTTAATCTGTATAATTTTTGTTGAAGGCGAAACGGTAACCGGTGGGAATTCGGCAAGTTTCGAAATTGAAGACATGCACAAGGAATAAGCGGAATCGTAGTTTCGAAGTAGAAAAGCCTGTGTGGTTTCTTTGTAGAGTGAGGTCAGAGTTTGAAGGGTGATGTGATTTGGTGACATGTTTAGAGAGTTATCGGTTTGGGAGGGCGACAGACTTGGTGAGTGCTGAGCCATTGTAAAAATTATACCAATAAATTTCACCTGATTATGCGCAAAAAATCATCAAGATATTAAGTATAAAAACGTGGTTTTTCTATATTTACCCATTTTAAGTCGCGAAATTCTAGTCAGTAAATGTCACGTGATTTAAATTTAAAAAAAAATCAAAAAAAAAAAATTCCTCAACGCATTCTAAAACCTTTTCTTAAATGGCTTCCACAGCTCGCGCAGCTGCGCACTCACTCGATTGGTCTAAACTTACAGCCCTCGGTTTAAAACGAGAAACTGTACTGGCTCTGCAAGCCTTTCGAAAACGAAATGAGGAAGCAAAACGTGTATTGCAGGTTCTAAAAGAACAAAAAACAGACATTGATTTTAACCATTACCGAACAATCTTAAAAAATAAAGGAATCGTGGAGGAAGCCGAGAAGGCATTGAAGACATATAAGCCGGTAAAAGTTGATTTGGATACTCAAATAAAGATCATAGAGACTTTTGAGGCTAAAGCTGTGAGTTGGAATAAAGAGCTTGAGTGTTATGATTCTTGCCTTTACGATCACGAATGAACAAGATGTAACCCTAATTTAAAAAAATTCCCGTGGAATACTGTATGATGTCAAAGGTTGAGAATGCCCAGAAGACCGCTTCGAAGGTGGATGCGGAACTTCAGGACCTGCAATCTACCTTGACCAACATGGAACAAACTAGACCTTTCAAACAACTTACGGTATGTCTTAATTTGATCTCGAATTCGATTGATTTGTTCGTTGTTTAATATGTTTCTTGAATAATTATAGGTTGACGAAGTGGTCGCAGCTAAACCGGAGATTAATGACATTGTAGAAAAGTTGGTCCAAAAACACCGCTGGGCTGTTCCGGGTTATGAAGAAAGATTTGGATATTAAGACTGTTATCATTCATGATGGGTTCATCGTACATCAGCTCGCTTGAAAATAATGTATCGGAATGGAAATTTTGTTTCAAAGATTTTTGCAATACTGAGTTTTTATATTAGATATATTTTCCTACTAATTTACTTTAAAAAGTACAAATAAGAAAAGTGATGAAATGTGAATGTCAAAAGAAAAAAAAGCGTAGCTGTTTAAAGGAAATCATTCGCAGAAAGGTTTAATTTATATATTAATAAAGAGGAAGACCTACGTCTAATATCGTTCATCTCCATCAGACGAAGATATCAGTTTACGGGAAACCAATAGAAGGCCCCCCTTCGAGTGCCCAGGTGAAAAGTAACCCGCACAAATTGTAAGAAAAAAATACCACAAAATATAAGAAATATATAATATATATGTATATATATATACAAACACAACTTGCATAATTGCCTATTTTTCCACAAAATTTTTTGTATGTTTATCAAGGATAGAAGTCAAACGCACCTTCGCTACTTATCATTCCAAATATATCCAAAATATACCAATGTTGCAAATATGAGCACTAGCTAGAAACAATATATAAAAAGAGAAGAAAAAAAAGGAAAAAAAAGACACGCAAACTCCTTACTACCAACTACTAGATATCAAATATAATTGCATATAGTAAAACGAAAAGAATAACTCCGAAATCACAATTTCGTTGCCGCCAATACATTAGCATTCACCAGAATGTTGCTCGAATCATCCAACAAAAAGCTTTTTACATGCTCTTTAAGAATTTCAGCGTTCATTCGCTAATCCTTTCTATTGCAATATTGTGTAAGTTAATTTTCATAAGAAAACAATCGTAGAGAAAAAAGAACCAAGCAAAGAAAAAAATGGAAAATAAATGGGCACTCAAAGACGCCAATGTTAAAAAATCCTTTTCAAGTAACTATTAAAGACTCGGTAATAACCACCCAATAATATTAATTATGTAACCTTGGCCATTTCCTTCTTCTTTTTACTATTGGTCGCGGGTACCGCTCGTGCTGCATTGTGATTACGTGGAGGGGTTACTGGTCGTCCTGAGTTATAAGAAGGGTATTTCTTCTTTTCAGCCGGCTTAAGAATCTGGAAAGTGAGAATCTCGTGTTAAAGAAAATACGTAGAAAGGAGAAGAAATACATGAGATTCTCTTGAAGTTAGCCAGTCACCTGAAACGAACACATAAGAGTTTCGTCCACACTCATCATCGCACCGGCATTATCAAATTCGCCACAGTAATTTGGCGCAGAGAATAGGGTAACAAGTTGCCTTTTGGCAAAGAATTCATAACCATCTTCTACTACTTGATGTGCTCGACATATCAAATCCATATCGTGCTTTTGCAAAAACCGACTGACGACATCAGGACCAAATGTGAAAGAAACACCACGATCGTTTTCGTTCCAACCAGTGATGTCCTTGTCAGGGTCGGACCACAGCAAATCACATAATAGGCCTAGACGAAAAGTGTGCATGTAAAAATAATGGACAAATGCAAAACGCCAATGAATAATAACGATGTCAACCATGTGAACGACATAAAATATAAAGTTATACCGGTATCTGGTACGTCTGTTGGTCGCATGACCCTTCGGATTTGTTCCATACTCTGAAGATCGGGTGATAAGCCTCCGTGCATGGTAAAAATCTTCTCGTCAATGATTGCGGCGATGGGCAAACAGTTGAAGCAATCTGTGAAAGTTTTCCACAACTTGATATTGTACCTTCGTTTGCCTGCGCGTATTTTGTTCTAGTTAAATTTAAAAGTTCTGACAATGAAAAGCTCTCACTTTATTACTTCAATCACTTACATTCATCATAAAATCCATAAATACGATTAATACTTGCGCATTCATGATTTCCTCGCAGAATGAAAAAATTCTCGGGATATTTTATCTTGTACGCCAACAAAAGGCAGATTGTTTCCAGTGATTGCTTTCCCCTGTCAACATAGTCGCCAAGGAAAAGATAATTTGCTTCCGGAGGGAATCCACCATATTCAAATAACCTTAACAAATCGTAGTATTGACCATGTATATCGCCTGTAAGTGTGAAAACATTTTTTATGTGACGCTAACTCATTTTTATAAAAAAACCACTTCATTGTTAATTAAAATTTAATACCGCAAATTTTTATTGGAGCTTCGAGCTCAAGAAGTATGGGCTGAGCAATAAAAATCTCCCTCGCTTTTGTGCAAAGGTATTTGATTTCAAACTCTGCAAGCTGTACTTGTTTTCCGGGTCGACAGCCTCTGACTAAAAAAAAAAAAAGAAGAAAAAAAATTTTTTTTTTTTCAATATCAGTTGTAAAACGATCGCTGACAATATTTAAACAGGCTCCAGTCATTATCATGAACTTCTGTGGCAAAATATTAAAGCAATACCTTCCAGCAGCCTGTCAATGACAGAGTCAATGTCTATTTCGGAAGAATCATTCATGGTACGCTTCACCCTTTTCTCAGAAAAAACCAGTAGACTGTTGAGGAGCGCGTGCGTGCGTGTACGGTGTTTTGTTACTGACAGAACAACAATTAGAGGCTCTATAAAAAACCAAAATACAAGGATCGAGTAGTGAGGAACACGTTAGCAAGGCCACTGATATTGATTTCAACAATAGGTCTAAAGCTAATTGCAGTATCCAGATGATAGTTGTGTAATTGGAACCACAGCATGAGCTTGCGACAAGGTTTCACACTAATATTTGTGTCTGGGTTGGGTGTGTGCATCCAAGCATAATATAAGAAGGTTTGGGAGGAAGTCATGGATAACAACAATTTCTTTGTTTTTTTTTCATTTCATTTCTCGTTTTCCCTTTCATACCCTTTAGCGAGGCAATACATACAAGTAGGTATCGAAGCAGGGAGTGAAAAGGTCGGACTGAGAGGATGCGTTATTGTATGGGTTGGGAAGACAAAGGGTGGGTTGGCCTGAATTGGATGAGTAAGCAAAAGGTTGAAAAGGCTGGATTGTGAGCGAGGATAAAGCCTGGGTAGCTATGTGTTGCTGATTACCCAAAACAGAATTTTGGTGACATGAATGATGCATCATTTCTGATAACACAATTTCTCCCCCCAAATACGTAGTCAAAATCCTGGTATAAATTTCATAAATTCACTCAATTTTACAATGATCGGAAAGATAACGATATTTTTTTTTTAAAAAAAAAAAAACTTTAGAGAATTTTGGCCAGCTTCTGCACCTCTATTCTTCTATCATTAACGATTTATTGATAATGATATCATGCTTGAAATCAATAAAGACTTTGAATGTCATGCAGATGCTGTACTTAAAACCTTCACAAGTTCATGAAGTATCACGTTACGTTCAAAATTGTTCTTTTTCGCACAATACAATTTTTCAAATAGGAAATCCTTATTGACAAAATTTGTATGGATAACTTGATATCTTTTAAAGAAAATTAGGTAATTCATTCATAATATTTCAACTTACCATTTATCCAAAAAAAAAATATGCTTAAACCTTTTCTTACTAACATATACGATTATATATTAATTTTATTATCATTTAAGTAATAAAAAAAATATCAAAGAACAATTAATGCAAAATATAAGTATATAAATTAATTAACAAACTTTTGAAATATCCAACAATATTATATATTTTTAGAATCAAAGAAAAATAATAATTAATAAAATTTCACAAAGCTCTAAAGGATAAACAATTATTTCAAAAATATTTATACTTTCAAATAAACTATGGAAATTTGAATCAAAAAATTTAAACAATTTGATAAATAAAGTACTTCAAATTTTTTTAAAAGATAATAAAAATTATAGATGAAGATTTAAAAAACTTGAACATGTTTTAAAATTATACTTTAATTTTTTAAATATTTTAATAAATAATTTTATATTAATAATATTTGGAACAGTTATAATAGAGAATAGTGGAATTGTCTGAGAATTTAATAAATATCATAACATTTTATGGTTTAATGATATTGTTGGAGGTTATAATAGCAAATCTGTCACTACGTCGCGATCGCCGATCATGTAATGTCCAAAGAGGCGTGGAGATGTGGCACAAGGTAAGTGAAAGAGTTAGATAATAGTCTGAGTTTTATAGTAAAAGGATGGTATTTTATTGTTGCTTTTTCTCTAGTACATTCCTCTATTTATATACATGTTAAGAAATCCCCAAAATTCCAAAAATCCCTCAAGCCCCAATTAAACCTCAATTGGGCGAGAATGACATATGTTGAATCTATCTAATTTTTCGATCCCTCTTACAATATATTGATTAAAATAAACTTTAAAGAATTATGTAATTATATAACAGATAATGAAATTTGTTATGGAAAGATAATTATAATTATTTAAAATATAAATATTATTTTATTTTAAGA